TTATTTATTTATTCATGAGACACACAGAGAGAGGCAGAGACACAGGCAGCGGGAGAAGCAGTCCGATGCGGGACTCGATCCCGGGACCCTGGGATCCTGACCTGAGCCGAAGGCAAATGCTCAACTGCTGAGCCACCCAGGGGCCCCCAGAAGCCCTGAGTTTTAACCCAGCTTCGCTGCTTCCTTACTGATTTCTATCTGGAACATGGGCACTCGAAACCTGCCTTGCCTGAGAGCCCATGAGGAGAGGCGGATGTGGAAGTAGAAAGCCCACCACAGGTACGATGCTGGCTTAGAAGCAAGCATAGCACCCCTGCTCTCTGGGCACCAGCTGCCAGGCTTCACCGTGCAGGCGGGCCCCACACCCCACTTCCTAGCAGGTGCGGCCGCAGGGGCCGGCCTGCAGCTGCAGCCCATGTCTGTGGGAGATCCGGGCGGAGAATTACAGGTGCACACCCAAGCCCGTATGTGCCGAAGACCCTCGGTCCCAGCGCTGGACTTGCCATAAGCCACAGGTCCCTGGTGCTTGCCGCCACCCCCACACAGTGTGCCGGCCTAGACTATGCTCCCGCGACTGTGTTAACTGTATGTGAGATATCCTACAGAAAAGACCTGATCTCCGAATGGATCAGACTGTGAGAAGACAATGTATGGCCTCTACGATATTTTTCATTTGCCTGAACCCCAAGAGGCCAAGCCCTGGATTTGTCTTGTTTTCTACTTTGTCTCCAGGGCCCGGCGCATAATAGGCACCAAAGATTTCTGGAAGAAGAACGCATTGCCATGGCAGCTTATCTCCTCTACAGGGTAGTAAATGGAAATTGAGACATGGGGTGGGAACGAATTAGGTTCTTATGCTGGGAGGAGAGCTCGAATACAGAAGGAGAGGCAGGTTGTATTCCGATCAAGGAGGATCCAAGTTTTCCCTGTAATTTCAGTGTGAGCAGGATTCTGTACGCCTAGACTAATAAGATGGAGGTAAGAGAGGCTGGGGCAGGAGAGCTGCCTCAGAACATGGTCCTCAGGTGGAGGGGCTGCTTTTTCACAGGAGACATAGTCTTTGCAGTCAGCTAGGCTGAGCAATGTGCTGCCACAGGGCCTGGGGGCTGCGTGCATCTCAGCCCCCAGGTGTGCATGTTTGCTCTTCACCGACACTTGGCTACAATGTCCATGAAGCAAAACTGCTGTTTAGAGCATCCTTTAAGGCAGGAGTCAAAATCAAAGTGAAATCCAAGACCCATTCTCTTTCTAATATCAATTCTTTTTTTCTTTTTAAAGATTTTATTTATTCATGGGAGACACAGGCAGAGGGAGAAGCAGGTTCCCTGCGGGGAGCCCGATGTGGGACTCGATCCCAGGACCCCAGGATCACAGCCAGAGCCAAAGGCAGATGCTCAACCTCTGAGCCACCCAGGTGCCCCTCATATCAATTCTGCTTCTAAACTGGTTCTGTTAGACATTATTCTTTAGGAATGAACCATTTATATCCCAAACAGGTGACCAAAGGACAGAGAATTATTTCATTTCATCTGGAGTTTGAGTGTAGTACGCTAGCAGGGTTGCCGCACGTCACACCAAGAGGCGATAAGGATCCTCGGTCAGGCCCTTGCTGTCTCTAACCTCAAGGCGCTCCACCAGAACCCTACCTTCAGCTTAGGTTTGTAAAGACTTCAAGTTTAGTGGAGGCCAGTAGTTGCACACTGCCTGTCAGGAAAACCCATCTGGCTCCCCCAAATCAGTGGTGGAAGCAAATTTGATTTGCCAGAACTGCAGACCTCACTAACCCCCACTTCACGTCGGCTCATCCATCCAACGCATTTACTGAGCACCGGCTATCTTGGGAATTCTGCTGCTAATGTAGATTTTTTAAAAAAAATCCACACTCTCATTATGAACTTGTGGTTAACCTTCAAAGGGATCTTCAGAAAAGAGATGGTAGGCAAATTTAAGAACAACTATTCTGCTCTGTGGATCTACCTGAGGAAAATACAAAAAAGGGAGAAGCTAAAAATAAATCCAAGGGAACAAGTCCATAGTCTTTAAGTGAATGCAGACATGGATCGAGTGAGTAACCATAAGTGCAAGAGAATTCTAGAGCGGGGAGTAATTAATTCTGTTGGGAGGGGACCGGGTAGCAGGGCAGGAGCAACTTCTTGTAGGAGGAAATTCCTAAACTGAGGTTTTTTGTACCTGTGTGTGTGTGTGTGTGTGTGTGTGTATGGGGTGGGGGTGGGAGGCTTCTTGGCCGAAATCGATGTGTTAGAGCACAGAAGCATAAAATAGGAGGACCAGGGAACTAACTGTGGGCAGCTTGGCACTGATGGAGCCTTAGATGGGCAGTGGTGGGAGATGGGTGTGGCCAGAGGAGTGAGCAGGGATCTTAGGTGCTATGCTGAGGAGTGTTGGGCTCAGTTGTACTTTATAGGCCATATGGGGTCATGAAAAGGGGTTTAACCTGGGGTGCAAAGGAGTAATGCTCATTTTAGATCCATCACTGGGGCAGCCATCTGTGGGGTGTTAGGGGCCAGTCTAAAGTCATCAGTTAGAGACTGCTGGCATGGTTTCTAAGAGGCACAGGGATGGCATGTCCCACAAAGTCAAGCGTGGATAAGTCACCCAGTCACATCCGTTGGCCCTACTGATGCAGTGGGTTCATTATGCACTTGTGATAAACCTTCACAGGGACTTCTGGAAAAGACAGGGCAGGTAAATTTAAGATCAAGTATTCTTTGCGGATCTACCTGAAGCAAATGCAAAGAAGGAAGAAGCTATACATCAATCCAGAAGAACAGACTCCTTCCTGTGGGCTCCAGCCACCGAAGAACTCAGGTCCACCAGGGCTTCACCAGGCTGCCCAGGCACGCTGAACCCTGGCTGGGCGGGATGTCTCAGTTAAGGGATGCTTCAGCTGAGAAGGTCCAGGGGCAGGAGTCCCATTTCCCAACCTCTCTGGAATCCCCCAAATGGCCCGGACTGACGTCCCCACCCCATCCCCACTCCCAGCTGAGCTCGGGAACTTAGCTTGTCATCTGGAACGAAATTCTGATTGACAAGTGGCATTGATGTTCTGGAGAAAAGAAAGCGGAGAGCAAGCAGTGAGTACTCCAAACAACTCATCAGCTGGTGGCAGAAAAAAGAGACAGGTTGTCCCTTGGCAACCACCAGGGTGGGGCTGACAGCGGGCTTCCCTGGCACTGCCGCCTGCCTCCTAGAGGACCCCTTGCTTCTAGGGGCAGAGGCCTGATGGGGAAAGACAGACTGATCCTCGCAGCAAGGGGGAGAAACCGAGGTCCTCATTAGGTCACAGCCAAGTCTACCTTGGACCCATCAGCAATCTCTCTGACCTTGTCAAAAGCTCCTTCCCGCCTCCATGGTTAATAGGATGAGCTCACCAGGCAAAAGAATAAGATGAAGCGTTTCACTTAGTGTTTTTCCTCCAAAACCCTTAAGCTACTACGGTCTTGCTGATTTTGCAGCCTTCCTGTAACAGAGGCCCTGGATCCACACTTGGCATTTCACTGTTTGAAGTAACTTTAGAGATTACTTAGTTTGCTTTTCTGGTTGTACAGATGTGGAAACAGAAGCCAAGGGTCCTGAAATCTCTTGCCCGGGATCCCCGGGGTGCCCCTCCAGGGAACCTCCTGCTTGGCCCAATGCAGTCCTTCTGCCCATTTCGCCAGTGAGGCCCAGGCCGAGGGACTAGAGCTGGAATTAGGAGGTAGTTCTGTGCAGCTTCGTCACCGCCGGTGGCTGGTTTGCAGGCTTCCTCCTCTGTGCAATGGGGGCAGCGTCACCTTGCAAGGTTGATGCCAAGGCGATTGCAAACGACGGTGTCTAAGAGCTGTGTTCAGGGCACACAGTCGGTGCTGAATGGTGTCTTCCCTAAGGAGCGAGCACCCAGCCGGCGAGGGGAGGTGGGGGATGGGAGGATGGGAGCCACATTCCGGCCTGCAGCCCGGAGGGCAGGGAAGTGGCCAGGGCAGGGCGGCCAACCCTGCGTGGGGGCGCAGGGCCAGCCAGGCCGCTACCCCCTGGAGGCCAAGACCCTGCGGGCGTGGCTGGGAGCGAGCCGTTCACCCCGGGTCTGGGTCTGGGTCTGGGTCTGGGTCTGGGTCTGGGTCTGGGTCCGATGGGGCTGCGGGTGCGCGGGCGCGGCCGGGAGGACCGGCGGGCAGCCCCCCCTAGCGTGGGGGGGTTGGAACTAGTGTCTGCGGGCCTCGCCGTCCTCGGGCCTCCGCCCCCGCCTCCCCCCCGAGCGCAGCTGCGGGGCGGGGCGCCGGCGCCGACTGTGTCGGAGGCTTGGTTGCCCTCCTGGTCCCGCCGCTCCCTACCTCGCTCGGGCTCAGGCGGGGCCCTGGCTGGACCGGGCGCCCCTCCCGGCCTCGGGGCCTCTGGACGCACCGCACCGCGGCCTGGAAGCCTCGACGGGCTCCCTGGCCCACCCCCGGCCCCCCGCGCGGTCCCGCCGGCTCTCCCGCTCCGGTCCTCGCGCCGCAGCCCGGCCCGCTCCTGCCCCGCGCGGTGCCCGCGGCCCCACCAGGGGGCGCCCTTCGCCCGCCGAAGCCGGCCGCGCCGTACCTCCGGGGCCCGGGCCCCTCGCGCGGGGCGTGCGGGCGCGGGTGCGGGTGCGGGTGCGCGCCGGGAGCCCCCCAGCCCCGGCCTCCAGGGCGCCGCGGCGCAGCGCCCGCCCTCGTCCCGCGGCCCCCGGCTCCCCCACCGCGGCGGCGGCAAGTTTGCCTCCGGCCGCCCGCCCCGCCGCCCGCCCCGCTCCTCCGGCTCCTCCGGCTCCTCCGGCTCCTCCGGCGCTCGGCTGCGGGGCGCGTCGGCGGGGCCCGAGCGGGTGCCCGGGGCGCGCGGGCCGCCCTGCCCCGAGGGGCGCCCCCCCGGCCGGCGTGCGCGGGCCGCTGCAGTCCCCGCGCTGACCGCCGGGCGGCGCCCCGGCCGCGCTCCTCCCGCCGCCCGCTCCCCGCTCCCCGCTCCCCGCTCCCCGCTCCCCGCTCCCCGCGCTCGCGGCCGGACACACACCGCCTTCGGCTGCCGGCGGAGCGCGCTGGGGCCGCCGCGGCTGCTGCGGAAGCGCGGAGACCGGAAAGCGACGGCCCGGCCGCCCGGCCCGGCCCCCGGAGCGCGGAGCCGCCCAGGTAAGGGGCCCGCCGCGCGCCCCAGCCCGACCCCGGCTCCGGGCGTCGGCACCGCCGGGCGCCCCGCGCCGCTGCCCCGCACCCCGCCCGCCCCCCGCCCGCCCCCCGCGCCTCCCGGGCTTGGACCCCGCGCTGCGCCCGCGGCTCCCCGGGCCCGCCGCCCGCCGCAGCCCTCCCCGGCCCTCCCCGCCTCCGGCCGCCGGTCCTGCGGGTCCTGCGGGTCGTGCGGGTCCCCCGGGTCCCCCGGGTCCGCCGCCCCCGCCCCCGCCCCCGCCCCCGCGCTGCGCCCCGGCCGCGCCCCGCCCCGCCCCCCGCCCCGCCCCGGGGCTCCCGCGTCCTCCCCGAGGGGACCCTCTTTCCCCTCCCACCCGCCTCAGCCTAGTTCGCCCGAGTGGGAAGCGGCGGAGCAACTCCGGGGACCCGCGTCCGGGCGTGCGGGGGGGCGGGCGGGGGCAGCCCCGGAGGGGGCGGGGGCCGGGGTCGGGGCCGGGGCCGGGGCCGGGGTCGGGGTCGGGGCCGGGGCGCCCGCAGCACCTGTGCCCGCCGCCCCGCCGGGCTCCCTGGAGCCGAAGAAAGTGAGAGGAGGAGGAGCGGGCGCGGGCGCGGGCGCGGGCGCGGGAGCCGAGCCGAGCCGAGCCGAGCGGGGCGGGGGGCGGGGGGCGGGGCGGGGGGGCCGGGCCGGGCCTGGCGGCCGCGGGCTCTGCGGCCGCAGCCCCTCCCGCCGGACCTCGGGCCGCGCGGCTCCCGGCCTCGCCACTTTACGCTGCCATCTTCCTCCCGGTGCTGTTGTCTGGCGATGCCACGAGGTGCCACCTCCCTGCCTCCCTCCAGCGGCTCCCCTGGGCATGTCTCCCAGGGCCTGGGGGTCTGGGAGAGGAGGGGCGCCCTGGCGCGGCCCGAGTGCTCCCAGGACTGGCCCGGGCCGCCCTCACTTCAGCTCCCTGCGGGTCACCTGGGTGACAGGGACACTCCAGGAGCACCTGCAAGCAGCGTGGTGTCCCCCGGGATGGCGGCCGCCCGCGTGGGAGCAGCCTGGCGGCACCTCCCGCCCCCCCCCCGTGTCTGCGCTCGTGGGACCCGCCCTGAGGGCCCGGGAGGTCCGCTGTGCCCCGCGCCTCCCCCACCCGGGAGGAAGCCCCAGGAACTCCAGCGGCCTCTGGGGTGGCCGGGTCTGCTGCAGCTGCAGCCCATGCCTCGGCGTTAATCAGGTCTATTATTTTCCTCACTGGCTGGATGTGTTCCTCAAGGTCGCGACCCTTTGGAGAGTTGAGCTAATATGCACACATTACCGTGTCTGGGTTTGTTTAATTTTCCGTATTTTGTTCATTTCTTGCGGAGCGAGCTTCCGGCGGGGAGCTGTGGCCCGGGCTGGCCCACCGGGCTCCTGCCACCTGGCTGGCCCCGTCCCCTGGTCCTCCTCCGGCCGCGCCACCTGGGGCCCGAGGGAGGCTGATGCGGAAGGGCCAGGGGCCGGGCCAGGGGCTGCCGACCGCCACCAGGGGAGGACATTCTGGTCTTTCTTTGCTCCCGCCCCCTCCCTTCCCCCCCAGGCATCCTCATCGTCGCTGACGTTTTGGGCAGCACCAAAAGTTCTTTCCAGAGCCTGGGTCTGCGTCTGGGTCTGGCTTCCCTCCCCGAGGATGGGAGGACGGAGAGGGAACTTGGGCAGAGCGGGAGGGAAGCGGGGACCCCCAGGGGTGACACATCCAGACGGAAGGAAGGAAGAAGGGCCGAGGAGCCGTCCTGGGCCGGGGGAGCCGCTGCTGGAAACGGGAGGGAGCGGCGGGAGTAGGGGCGAGTAGGGGCGGGCGGTGTGTGGCTGGTGCGGGGTGGCGGAGCGTGTGGGAAGAAAGCCTCTCCTGTTACTTGTGCCGAGTCCGAATCCCTTATGTGAGTGATGAGCGCGCAGCTTTCCAAATGCTTTTTAGGGGAATTACTTCATCTGATCTCTACCAGGGCCCTACGAGCGTTTCATCTGCACCATCACCCCGTAAGGAGGTGCCACTGACCCCCAGACCCCCGGGCGCGGAGAGCTTAGTGTCCAAGGCTCGGCAGCCGCGCGGGAGGCCTCTGGACTCCCGTCCCAGTGCTCCGGTGCTGCTACTTGTTGCTTGTTAAGGTCTCTGCTGTCCGGCCCTCGCTCTCCCCGACCCATGCTTCGCTCCATCTTCCCGTTCTCCCGGGTCGGCTCCACGCTTTCCCCTCCCCGGGCTGGGGGCGGGGGTAGGGGGCTGGCTGGTGGTCCCCATGCCCGTCCCACGTCTTAGATCAGGCTAATTCTTGGCTCTGCATTCACAGTCCCTAGACTGGCCACTCCAGCCCCCTGGATGCCCCCCAGCCCCCTCTGCATGTCCCACCAGCCCCCTGCATTTTCCCCCAGCCCCCTCGATGCCCCCCAGCCCCCTGCATGTCCCCCCAGCCCCCTGGGTGCCCCCCCAGCCCCCTGGATGCCCCCCACCCCCTGCATGTCCTCCCAGCCCCCTGCATGTTCCCCCAGCCCCCTCGATGCCCCCCAGCTCCCTGCCTGTCCCCCCAGCCCCTCTGCATGTCCCACCAGCCCCCTGCATTTTCCCCAGCCCCCTTGATGCCTCCCAGCCCCCTGCATGTCCCCCCAGCCCCTGGTGCCCCCCCAGCCCCCTGGATGCCCCCACCCCGGCATGTCCCCCGAGCCCTCTGGATGTCCCCCCAGCCCCCTGGATGCCCCCCAGCCCTCTGCATGTTCCCCCAGCCCTCTGGATGCCCCCCAGCCCCCTGCATGTCCCCCCAGCCCCCTGGATGCCCCCCCAGCCCCCTGCATGTCCCCCCAGCCCCCTGGATGCCCCCCCAGCCCCCTGCATGTCCCCCCAGCCCCCTGGATGCCCCCCCAGCCCCCTGCATGTCCCTCCAGCCCCCTGGATGCCCCCCCCAGCCCCCTGCATGTCCCCCCAGCACTCTGGATGTCCCACCAGCCCCCTAGATGTCCCACCAGCCCCTGTGGATGTCCCGCGATCCCTGCCCCAGACAGGTGGTTCCTCTTGACTGTCCCTCGCAGGGAGTTCCAGGTTCTCCCAGGCACTGTCCGGATACCACAGAGACCTTGGTTCCACCTTCTTCCTCTGTCTCCCTCATCCCACTCCTCGGCGCCTTATCTCTTCAGACCTCAGTTCTTTTGGGCGCTTCTGGTGCCCGGCCCGAGCTTTCCTTGCACACTGCCACTGTCCCATGTGGGGCTTTAGCAGCTCAGGGCCCGGGGGTGGGGGTGGGGGTGGTGGTATCGCAGCCTCCTCCCCGCGGGCTCAGTTTCCAGGCACCTGCTGCCCCACCTGCTTCCCTACAGAAGATGGCTTTGGTAATGTGTGACCAGGTCTCCGGAGCCTCCGTGGCACCCCTGGCTCCTGGACACGGTCCCCGGTGGTAGCTTGGACTTGATGGCCTTCTGCTTGCACCGCCTCGCCTTCTGCCTTGGGACCCGATCCTTGACCTGCTCTCACTCTGGGCACCTGATGCGCTGGGCCCTCATCCTTCCCCTTCCTCCTGTTTTCTGCCCACTTACACTTTGCCAGCCTTCAAGGGGCAGCCCGGGAAGCCCTCCCCGCGCCCCAGCCCGTCACCCTCTGCAGGACCTGGTGGCAGCTTCAGCCACCAAGTCTCAGGCAGGTCTGGCTTCCTATCCTGGTGTCACTCTCTGAGTGACTTTGAACAAATTGCGTAACCTCTCTGGGCCTCACCTGTCTCACCCATAAAATGGGGACAGTCTCACCTGCCTGAAAGGCTTGCTATCAGCATGACCATATGTGGGGGGATGTGGTTTGTGGGTCCCCGCAGGGCACCTGCAGGTAGGGTCCTCTCACGCCACCATCTCCTACCTGCTGTTGCAGTTTCTTTGTCCCTGTTTGTCTCCCCACCCAGAAGTCAGGTCCCTTGAGGAGAAAGACCTTTCCCTGGTGCCTGAATTTTCAGTCCTTGGCTCCTCACCGAGCGTGCACTGTCTTTCGACACCCATACGTTGGCCCCTGCTTACAGTAGGGATGTAAGGAATCGTTGTTGCTTGCTGATGACATTTGGTTACATAAAATAGGGTCTGCCTTACATTTAACAAATCCAACACAAAAAAGCAGTTTATGCCACGGTACCAGCCCAGGTAAACTGTGGGAAGGAAGGAGGGAATCAGTTTAACGCTGTATTGACTGTGCGCTCTGCTCATTTCAGAGTCACCCCAGCTACCTGGTGAGCACCTCTGTTTTTACAGACGAGGAAAGGGGGCCACAGGGGGTTCCTCTGAGCCGTGCCATAGTCCAGGGAGCACTCCAGAACCCCACTTCCTTCCCCTATACGTGGGCCCAGAAAGGGGAGTGGGAGGCTCCTTAAGAAAAGATTTGAGACAGGTTTTCTTTGAACAACTCCCCACTTCAGCAGGGATGGGGTAGGTGTGAGCACGTCAGAGAGGCAGGGCCAGCGAGGCAGGTTTAGGGTTTGGGTGGGGAGCCCGGGGGGACAGGCCACATGGGGAGAGCAGGAGGGGTGGGTGGATGTGCTCTGGCCACGTGGGCCCTGGCGGTCAAGACTGGTCACACAAGTGAGGAGGAGGAAGGGCCGTCCCGCAAGGAGGGCTGCCCAGACGGAGTCCGGGACAGAGACAGCTTGAAGGCTGGGTGACCGGGGTCCTGTCTGCCTGGCGGCGGGTGGGCCCTGGGAGGGGGGAGGTAAGGGTGGGTGGGAGGGGGGGTTAGGGCGGAACTAACAAGTTCAACGGGACCTCGCAGCCAAGGAGGGGAGGTCCAGGTTGATGCATCAGGGTCTGGGGGGGCGGGGAGGATCCTGGGCAGACGGGCAAGTGCCCGGCGAGGCCTTGAGGGCTGGGGGTGCCAGCAGAAGGATGGGGGTTGCGTTTGAGTGGCATTTCCAAGGAACAGCAGAATGTGCGGACAGATTGGGAACAGCAGAGGAGGGAGCAGGAAGTGTCGCAGAGAACTTTGAGATTTGGAGCCCCGGAGGCTCGCAGGATGGTGGTGCCACTTCAG